AATTATTATATGAGAGGTATTCAATCTATTTTGCATAAGGCTTAGAAACCTACACATCAAAAGCAAATTCTTAGACAGATTTTTTCAATGATCTTTCAAATTGAGATGTCGAAAATACCGAAGTTTAAGTAATTTGTGCATTAACTAGAATAAAATTTCCATCATTATGCTCATCAAAAATATAATAATACAGGCCTGGCATTAATGTCATAAGTAGCTCAACCCTCGTGATATTACCAAACAAATTATGCCCAAGTTAGATTCACACATTGCATGAGTAGTATATCATAGAGGTGTGAAAAGTCTAATGGTGTAAGACTTTATTTAGTCTTGTCCTCATCCCCTCACTTCATGTTGCTTTTAATGGTTTATCTAAACTGACCAAGTGGGCAGAGTAGTATCCATTAGTGCATCCTTTATTATTTTTAAAATGCCTTGTTGGTAGAACGAATTTTGGAGGGTAGTAGAAGAAACACAGTATGAAAAACTTTCTTAAACTCCGAGCTGTAGGAATGTACAGATTGATGAATAGCTAAGAAAAGAGCACAAATTGAGAATAGGAGGTAAAAACGACTCTTTAAAACAAAAGATGGCGATCATATTGGTTATGACGTCAGTAAATCATAAATATTCCTACTATTGAATTGAAAAATAGGCTTCCACTTTGACAAATTTTGACAGGCAAAAAAGTACGACGCAGAAAAGCATTTCGGGCTTTTATGCACCTACTTTGTATCCCATCACTTATTCTTTGAGAATCAATTGCAAGTATACAATTATGTGGTAAAGGAATCCGAAACCAAACCCAAGAGAGCAAGCGTCTCTCTCTCAATCAAGAAACTGTATTTTTTGTAATAGTTTATTATTTAAAATAGTTTTATAGTACTGAAAAAGTGTAAATACTATGTCTTTAAGATATTTCCTGATTTCGGCATATAACTTTGCCGTTGGTTATCGTGAAAGCCCGTTCTTTTCTCAGACTGGACCGCAGTTTCGAACTCGCCTCATCGTCTCATCAATATCCCCAGCAATATTAGAAACAATGACACACGAGTTCCGAGGTAGACATGTATGGCACAGTGAAATTCAATAGAAAAATCAAGCGTTTTCTTCCATTCCTTGTGGGAGGAGTCGCTGTCAATCCAATAAAACTATTTGAAAGTGCCTTGATGCCTTGAAAATAAGACATCAGCAATTCTTGCATGGGAACTTTGGCCTCTCTAATTCGCCTAGTGTGATTCGTATAACACTGATAATAATGATAAGTGATAGAAGTATAAATAAAATTATATATCCAAAGTATTGCGAAAATCTCTGAAATTATGTGAACTGGTATTGCCTAACCTGTGGTCGGCGGTACAGCTCTTATCGGGTTCTCGGTAGATGAGGCATATCTGGACCGGTGTCGAATCGCCGCTCCGATGGGCGTTTCCACGAATGCTAGTCGGGGAATTTTGCCTGACAGTTGTCCAGCTTGATCACTCGTCGAATGATGTGTGCCAGACAGTGAAGGTGGCTGACATGGGGCCTGCTGAGGCCGACTGCCAATGACAATCGGCAGCGTAGTTTGCAGCATAAGAGTGGGCCAAATATGGCCGATTCGCAAGCGGACAGCCAGCACGACTTGATGCAAGACGACAAAGCGCACGGGAAGATTAGGGCATAGCGGATGGGGAAGGGAGGAGGTGGCAGTAGATGAGGCGCGGCGATCCAAGTGGTACGAGGCCGGTCGGACACATGTGGGAGAAACGGGTGTCTTGGTGTGCTGCTGATTGTACGTGTGTGTGCAGGAAGGGTGGGAATGGGATGCAGGCGGAGAAGAGGAGGAGAGTGCTGCTCCAGACCCAATAGACTTCTTTGCACAGGTCAGTGCATCAATGTCGGCATTTTCACAGCACCGGCCAACAGATGAACCACCAGACGGTGCGCCGAGTAGACAGACAGATGAAGTAGCTAGTGCAGGAATGTGTAGGTGCAGCCTCTCTGTGTAAATGGGACCAGAATCTGCAGCAGACTGTCCCTTTTCCATCGGCGGTACAGCTTTAAAGTCAGCTTGGCAGACGACCTGGTTTGGCGCAAAACATGACGTATGGATAAGACACTCGAGACAAAAAGGAGTGCTAATCGCATAAGATATGACGAATCGGGAATGATTTCCCACAAATACTAAAATATATTTAATACAACCAATCCCCCAGGTATTTATATAGGTTTTTAAAAATATCCCTTTTGTGCGCCATGTGCGGGTACATGAGAAGAGCATGTCCCGATGGAGGCTGGCTGGGGCTTTAATATGCTGTAGTAATCGAACTCAGCTAAAATATGAATAAGGTGTAAGCTAACATAGAATAGGAAAGGCCCAACCCACGATTATTTCTTTTTGAGTTCAAGTAATTTGAAGCTCTGACCTGAAGCGTCCAAAAACGAGAAAGCGCAAAAACCTAGATTCCCGGTATACGTATAGACAAGCCTTCTGCCTCTGGATAGAGCTCACCAACAAAAATCATCACTTCTCAAGATTCATATTTGTATGAATGCCGTTCGAAGGAGCACATCACACTACATTGAAATAAGCACGGTAAAAATTATGACAGTGAAGGCGTGATAGGAGGATATAGGAAATGTGGATAGCGCAGGTCAGAAGGGGAGATACCACAATAGGTTAGCACACGTTTGGTCAAGGGATGGGCTTCACTTTTGACGAGTTGTAATATGGTGCTACAAACGGTTATACTCACTGACGATGCCGACTACGATGCCGGCGAAACGTCTGGAAATGTACCACGTCCACGGTCCTAC